TGTGGACGCTTAATAGGTGACCTGTCAATCAAATAATGTATTCAATCGATCGTTGAGATTGATCATATTTCTAAGAGTTTAGCACTCATAATATAATACTAAAGTGCATTTAAGTATATTCGACACTCCATGCTCATGAGGAGTAACAAGACGAGTATTCAATTCACGGCACTCTTTGTTCCACAGTCGGCGAATTTGAGGGAAACATATCTCATATCTATCTGATAAGATCTGCTCGAAATTAATACTGTTATCGGACCAGTATTATTTGATGGCTCGCAAGGCGGTTCCTTTCATCTGAATCGCTTCAAGTTCCATTTATTCGCTCATTGACGCCGAACAGTTGAGCTCTCAATCGAATTATGTGTTCTAGATCTTCTAGCATCTACTATTCACCTATATTTGTAACCTTGTTTAAGCTGTAGGGGAGATTGGGGGTATATGTCCACTAGGGTAATATGGCCCATTGGAATATTTCCCCAACAGATCCTATGATACATTCGAGCAAATTTTGAAAGCAAGAGGATAGAAGAGTGCAGACTGCTAATTTTATTAGGTTGAAGTTAAAAAAGGGAATAATTGACTTAATTCCATCTGCGGTTCAGGGTGGTTATAGATATTTGCTTTCCTCGTGCTGGTCGAGAAAACGAAATTAATCGAATTTATTGCCGGTTTACGTCAGGAAGGCGTTTAAGAATTTTTGCAAGTGCAAAAATTAGGCCAAATACTCGAAAATAGTAACAAATCATCTTGCATGAAGAAAAATACAAATATGAAATGAATTATGTTTCCCTTGTAAATGTAATTCGAAATAAGACATAAACTTAAGAAAGAGAGTCCACATGGATTCCCCTTATACGAATAAGGGCTCATAGATTATTTATACGCATTATCGTCTTCAGGGAACGTGATAGAAAGTGCTGCAATGGGAATAAAATATGGATTTAAAAAAATTCAAAGAACGAATATCTCAACTTAAAGGGGTCGTCATTTAATCAGGTATAGGATCATAGGAAGTTCGCTATGCTGGGCAGTGATCTCAAGCTCGGTGGCATGCCGAGTCTCACCCCAAAGTCCCAATTCGAACATTCCAGCTCGACTAAATCTGTAAATTCGGACCATATCCAGCTGGCAAAGAGCTGGAAAATAGATATCGGTTGGTTTATAACTGGAATTTTCCAACTGGAATGGGATAGGTTTTAATAGCTGTTTCAAGCTGGTAATTTCCAGTTAGATTCTCATACAGATGACCCCACAGCTGGAATATTACTGAATTTACGACTGAAATTCAGTTATGCTCCTGGACCTTAGACAACATTATTCAACAAAACGATTCTCATTGAGCTAGAGATATGGCAACTGAGAACCAATCTGAATCCGACTACTTTCCAGCTGCTACCCAGATGGAATGGGTTCGAATTTACGACCGGGATCAAAGCCGAAAATTAAAGATGTTTCCAGTTGTGATTTTAGGCTGTGTAGTTACAAAAATTATCGATTTGGTTCGTTCCCCTTACACATGACATCAAGGACACCATGGAAACACATGTTATGTTTCGGGTATTCATGATTCCTTGTTCAATTTCGCTACCTCCAAGTACTTCTCAGTTAATGCACTCACCATGATTAATAAGCACAAGAATATGTTATTGGGGACGATCGATTGAATTCACATTGACGAGTCCCCTAATTGCTGGAGAGCTATAGTAGAAGAAAGTGGGGTAATAACGAATTCTTAAGGAAAATCTACTTTGTAGGACAAAAATAGTGAACAGAATAGTTTTCAAACCTGATTTTTTTATAATTGCAGTTTGAAAGTTAAAAACAATCGCTGGCATCCAAGATTTTTTTTCACAGGCGAAATGTATTTTCAAAAATGACTTTGTTCGGATTGACCATTGTAGCTGGGATACATCCGAAAATTGTGAATACAAAATTCGAACAGCGCCTCTTATGTTATTTACGAACAGAAATCGCACATTTATCCCATAGAAAGCCCAGGAATCCCCAAGGACCACTTCACCCCATCATGAACTTGTCAAAGCGATCTTAGAAGTTGAGGCAACAAGAAAAATGGGAGTAGAGTTACTATTCCTGCAAAGGTCCTCATTGCCGTGTTACATTACTGTCCTGACAAAATCGTCGAAATATTCCAAGGCGGTGAAATTATTATGAAGATGGATCCATGACATTACCATGGGAAACTTACCACCTTAGCATTGCTAGATGGAGCCGGATTTCAGTGGCTGAATAATTGAAGAATCTTGGTCATTAGGAACAGTGTCAGGTTTCGCTGCATTGCATTCGGAAACTTCCTAGCCACTGGCTGCGATAAAGTGTGCATTGCGCTCTCGGTACTATCAAAGATACCTAGTGGAACGTATCGAAACTCGCATACTCAAATCACTGATGTCATTATATAACATCAATAAGTCTGAGAAAAGTGTTCATGAGTTGGACGCGATACATGAAAAGGTGGTATCCAAAATGGATTAATTCGCGCATATAATCCATTTGAATGTATGACGATTCTCATTCCGTCGTCCAGTAAGCACGAGGACAAATCCGTCTTATTTCATATACTTTGATTCTTAAGAAATGAAAGCCCCTGGAATAGGTGATTGGAAGGATCCATTGGGAAAGTGCTCACTTGGAGATCTCATTTTCAGAGGGAAGGAGTAAAAATTTAGAGACACGAAATTGCTATTTTCACATGATGTGACCTTTGCCTTCAGGAGCATCGCGCGACAGATTGCAATGCCTAATGCAATTGCAGCTTATACAATGAGACCCTCCCAGATAATTTATATCCCTAAAATAAACAGGGAGAATTTGCCGTATGGGCAGAATCAGAATAAGTCTATCAACTCTATGCGGTATATAGGGAAGGAAAGAATCAGCTAATAATAATAAATTAATTTCTTTTTACAGCGGCTTTTTGGAAGTCTTATTCTTACCTTCATCGCGTCTTTAAATAGATTGGTGCCTTTCATGTGAATTTATTTATTTATAGTGAGGACTTTTACTTGCGAGATCGATCGAGGTGAACCGATGCAGAGGGCTCTTCCATGAAACTAGGGAAACAGCTTTTAAAAAATCGATGTGCACGTGTAAAAGCAAATGCGTAGTTCATTGATCTGGCTACTCGGCAAACCCAGATTCAGCGCAGCTGCTTGCGCACTATTAGTGCTGGGGGAAAAGTGAGCAGAGGTACGTACTTCTCTGTAAGGTAATGGGCTACATGTCTTGGTGATGCATCTGAACGACATGAGAACACTTTGCTATGGATATCTGACTTGCAGCTATTACTGGAAGTTTCTACCGCTGCATCTGTCAGGTATTGTGCAGCTCGGACTGAACTTCGATTAGGAAAGTGTGGTCGTCCAATCTCATAGAATAATTCAGTATTTCGGAAGAAAGACATTCACGAGGAAGCCACAAGAGTAGGACATCCATTGTAAAGAAATGGATTTTCGAGGTGTGATTTCCATCAGTGACGAGTTGGAAATGTTCAAAACAGGTTTTTATTCTAAGTATTTGTACGTCATGATGAAATTAGGTTCGCATATGCAACGTTTGATGAATATAGAAACAAAAATGTACCATTTCATCAAAGTTCATTTTCGAATATTGGTGCATGAAGAACCTTATTTCCCTTTGCAATGACAACAAAAATAACAAGTGAAACTAGAACAATTGTAATTAACTTCACTCCCATGTTTTCCTGAGGTAAAACAGGGTATGAAGTGGTAAATATATATATGGGTAATTTCATTGTGACTCATGTTACAAATGCACAACATTTTCTGAAGTTAATTCCACCCTGACTTCTGAATTTTCAATTGTAGATCGTCATGAAGGCAAAACTATTGCAGGCATTGAGCTTCTGTTGGATATAAATCTAGGAAATGTATTTGTATGCAATTTTCTGGAAGTTCTCCAGAAAAATTCGAAGAATTATATTTCAATCCATGTAAATACCCCTCCTAAGTTATATATTAATGATCCTATATCATCGAGTAATAATGCATAGCTATATACGCAGGAAACACTGCAAAGTTTTTCCTGCACCTGTGTTCCTTCGCTCTTCGTTACACCCGCCTTCATCCTTACCATATCGGCCAGAAAAAAGGGGAAAAAAGTCACCCTTGGATTCGTCTTGATTTCGGTGTGTGCGGACTTGCCGATTAAAGCCGGACGTACGTTGTCCTTAAATATTCGTCATACGTGCGTCATATTCGTAAAGTATTGGTCATTGGGTTTTTTAAGAAGTGAGCATATTCCCCCTAATCCATGTTTCTCAAAAAATAGGGTTACATGTATTCTTGGGACCAACTTAGAAAACACCCAAGTGCTTATTTCACTTTTCTGCATGTACCTTGTTTGAATCAAATAAAGAATGAATTGTCGACGCTGGATGGCCTGCCTGAAAGTAGGTAGTCTTCCACGTCACTGTTTCCACTCTTGAAATGCAGAATCCACCTTTTCACATTCGCATAACTGTTGCTAGACGCGCCATACACATTCTGCAGTCCCGCATGCATGCTTTCAGGGATTACGTATTCTTTCATGAGGAATTTTATCGGTGATTATTGCTTCAAAATGCCATCCAAAGTAGGCGCCATTTTCAATGGTAAATGTGCTGCCACTTGGCATAAAACAATGTAATTTTCACTGTCGATCAGTAACGGAAACATAGTATTTTGCGTGAATAAAATATCAGGCTTGTCCGAATAGTGATTCTTTAATATCAATAATTTAGTACTCATTACTTTCGGTACGCCCCTCGTAAATCTGGTTGAAATGGATGAAGTCTGATAATTTTTTTTCTCATTCCGGTGTTGATTCGCAATATGAAATCTCTGAGTTGGTGAGGAAATGAGACAGGTGGTAAGCACGACCGACGATGTCATTGAGCCACACTGTCAAATATGTCTGACATGATTTCGGTCAAATGTGTCTGATATCGTTCCGACAAGAATTTCGTGATCCAGAGGGAAATGGCAAGAGGATATCGGTGAGCACTTCCGTGAGCAAAGACTCGCTGAGAATTGCATTAAAAAAAAACTCAATTATTTGTTCAATAAATGACATGGGTTTTGTCTTGATTCCCATCCAAACGAATTTCTTGTCCATATGAATCAATACTTTCCCGGGAAAAATATTTTATAAATGTTTGTTGGGGTACTTTTGGCACATTTCGCAATTTCCTCATCATTCTCTTTCGTGTTCCTGCTTCATACGTGCATGCGATATTCACTGGTTTGAAGCTAGGATTTCTCATTGGAATCATTTTGGATTTAGGTAAACGATCATTGGGTGCAAGCCACAACCTCACTAAAAAATAAACAATGCAAAGGGGAAAGGAACGATTTCAGAAGGTGGAATGAGAGCTGATTCTCGATAGGTGACGTGCAATCCAAAGCAATAATCCAACCTTTGGGCTTTAAATGAATGAGGTGAAATAAACGTGCTGAACGGTATTCTTAAACTGTTTCATAAAAAAGCCAATGTTCATTAAATGAACTTGAAACTTATTTTGCTTGAACAACAATTAAACAATGATTTAACCTCCTTGATTTTTTTTCGAGATTCTCTCTTTACTTGACATTAAGAGACTGGCGTTTAGTCAAACAACCCAATGGAAACTATGCATTTGGATTCGGCATCACAACTTTTCTAGATAAAACCAGTCCCAGAAAGTTGAGAAAAATTCCTCAGTCGCCCCAGCAAATTTAAAATGGACCTATGTGAAACAAACCTTTCTTGTTTCTTTGTTCCTTGAACGTCAGTCGGAATGTCTGTCATATTGGCATTTGCAAGTAAGCAGTAAATATATAAAATACCATATTACCCCGAGTGGCTCAGTTCAGTCGAACTGGTTAAGTGGACATCGAATAAAGCGGAACATTGCAATTCGAAGAATGATCACGCGGTTCCTTTTTTCCAGACAAGTTCTAACAGCGATTCATAATACATGCAGAAAACCATTAATATTGATGTGCTGAATAAAAGTATATCAAGCAGCACGGGAACCTTCCTCTGATGGAGAAAGTACCATCACCAGAGCAACCCTTCCAGCAAATTTGAATTTTTCGCCCGTCTCTCTCAATAGCAGTAATGGGGGAAATACGAACAATTGTCGACATTCTCAGTTACTTCATGGAAGCCATTTCTATCAGATTTGGAACAATGAAACTCTGGAAAACGTATTAAGAAGAGGTGCTGATCTACGCAAATGATGGTTCACCATATTAGCCCTCAATACGTCTCAGATTCAATGCTACACTTTCAGCTAATGAATATTAACTGTTTTTGAAAAATTGTTGTATTATATAGAATGAATAGGGATTTGCTGGACGACATGGATTCAAGTGCTTTCCTCCTCTCGTATCGGCTCATTCCATCTTCTCGTTCTTTCGAATCCGAGTGTATCTTGATCCATTCTTCCCCCCCCTTGAATCAGAAGAGGCCCGACGAAACATACACTGGTAACCTTGATCTGCGGAGTGTGCGTAGGATTCCTGACTGCCAGTCTCTTCCTCTCCTCGTCCTGCTCTTTGAAGTGGCTTCAGCGCCATACCCTCTTCTATAAGAAGTAAGGAAACTGTTGCCATTTTCGCCTTCATCTCATGTTAGTCTAGGAAATGAATGGAGAACTGGCGGTCAAAGAAAGTAACATGTAAAAATGTATACACTAATTTACAGTTAAAGTAATTCGGAAAGGAAAATGTGTATATTCATTTAACAATTGATGAACCTGTTCTTCAGATATCGATTCTCCATTCTCTACGATGCAGAATGAAAAGTCTGGGTGCTAAACCTGTGACATGTCAACTAAGGAACATTCATGATAAATATTTTATTTGCATGAATATGCGCCTTTTGCAAATGCACGCTTAGAGAAATAACAGCAAAGAGATTCAAAGACTCATGCTCATAAAAAGACTTATTTTGTCCCGAAATAAATCCTCTCTTCTCAAGCATGCAAATATTAGTAATGAAATGATTTATTTTTCATTTTGCAGAATGAACCGGAATATGATTCCCAATGGCAACGCCCTCCTCGGTAAGACTTTCAACCTAGGCCTGTATCGTTTCCTCAGTTCCTCTTCGTCTTGCGGTTTTCAAGTTCACTACTGGAGTATACGAATTCGGTGGTAGTGGCAGAAGAGGGCGTGTTGGAGATGTCGCAAAGGGTGCGGGTGCTGTGTGCGATCATGACACATCCGAGGAACCACGAGAAGAAGGCGAAGCACGTGAGGGACACCTGGGGGAAGCGATGCGACGTCCTCCTCTTCATGAGCTCGGTGGAAGGTAGGATGAGAAGCATGTGTTTCTTACCGATGGGAACATGGATGTAAATAATTGCATCATCATTGTTCAATTTAGCATATGTTTAAAAACAGAAAAGGTCGCGCTGATCCAGGGAACTTGGATTCATTTTGAGGTGTCGCTGAAAGACGTTTGGAGAAAAGGAGGAATTGATTTCCTATCAGTTAGTCTACAAATAATTATTGTGTTAAAGCAATAAAGTCATGAGCGTATATGGCAAGTACAGTATTATATATCAATATATTTAAAAATGTATATGCGAAGAAGAGTGTGTTGGCCATAGAAATGAATAAAATTCCCTGTTGGAACATTAGTCAACGCACTTCTGATTTTTACCTGGTGATCCTCGTGCTGAAATTCATATGGCGTCGCATTAAATATTTGTTGAAACAACTTTACTTTTAGGGTGCGAGTGCCGAAGGTGCAAAAATTGCCAAATCCATGAACCAAGGAGTTTCACCGCATTATTAGGAGTGAGCTTCTAAAACAGATGCTTTAAATCCATTAATAATTTCCTTTGATCATAAGGTGCTGAGGCCGCGTCCATAGCTTTGTTTGCTTACCCGAATCGCAAAAAAAGTTATTATAAAAATGCGCATGAAATAGCTCGAAGATGCGAAATATATAATTTCTTTATTGTGGTTTTCGAACAAGTCAGAAAGGATTAATATCATTTTTATGCCACATGGTTCATCACTGGGGAGTGCTCCATCACAGGGTACTTCACCCTTTGCCCTATACAGTATACACTAAGAAGGGGTTTTCAACGCGCGGGGGGGTTGTTATTTTTTCGCTTGTTTCTTCCAGCGAAATAGCGATTTGAGGTAAAGAGTTTTAATGAGGGATACACATATTTTTGTGGAGGTGCTGCTTTCAGAAGTATCATGATTTCTGGGTGCAGTCCTTTTGGGGGGGAGGGGAACTTTTGCCTAAAAGCTTCTCCTAATATTTTTTAGTAGAGGAAAACGGTCGTTCAGTTGCGTCGGAAAGTAAACAAAGGAACATCTACCTGGACTATCATTGAGGGGAAAATATTCCCCGACCACTCTCAGCCTTCACGGGAAGAGCTTCAAATTTTTTAAAGTTTCTTATTTACTGGGCAATTTCTACTTGTATAAAATTTCGTCGTAGTGAAAGTTAGACTATTGTAGCAGATGAAGGCACATCATATGAGCTGCAAATCTCTCTCTCCCCTACCCCCTGTCCTTCATGAGGAGTCATCTGATGTCAGAATGAGAGGTTTATTCGTGAATAAATGCGTTCAAACGGACATTAGAAATTACATTGATGGCATTTCACGGACGATGGACTTTGTTTGCCTCCTAACCGAAAATGAAGAAATGTCGCAACGAGGACGTTCTAAACCATGAATGATTCTTTAAAAGTTGCATGCGCTGATTGTTGTGGTTTTCTCACACAAATCACATATAATTAGGTTTAGATTTGGTCCTCAAACTACAACGGAGAGCGTCGAAGTAGAAAATATGGCGCATATTTACTGATATTAATGTATATTTCTATTTAGTTTTATATTCATCTCCATTAATGTTCTGAACCAGTGCCGCTGTAAAGTCTAAGAAGGAATGTACGAATTTTAAAAGACGTACCAGAATTTGAATTTTCTCACAATAATGCCTCAATTACCTATCGGAAGCATCATTCGAGGACATATCCAATACGGTTGGGATGATGTACAGGGTGCGTAAAATGTTCTTGCCACGATATCTTTGGTTATAACTTTGCTGTATTTCATCCCAATTCCATCAACATTTTAGCAAACTTACTAATCATAATCATAATCATAGCAAACTTACTACTAGATTCAAAAAGTCTCGAGACTCGGGTCACCGTGACCAAACGGTGTCTTCCATATCAAAATAAATTTTGCTGTGCGCAGTTAGGGTTCCACACTGTGTATATCAAGGGTACATGGGCTTAACCTCACGTGGCAATGACTGGGTTGCCTAACGTGCAACTCTTCAGCTGTCAGTCGGCGGTCTGCATTCACCTTGCGAAGATGTCACTTTTCGAAAAGCGAGCTAATGTGAAAATTAAAGACTGTAAAACGGCTGCAGAGACCTTTGGAATGCTGAGACAGGCGCATGGGGACAAGAAAATCCCACGCCCTCCATTGTTTCAGTGACATAGACGATTCCGAGAAGGCCGTAAGTCCCTGGAAGGTGATGGAGGTATTCTTCGACCGCCAGGGTATTGTCCATCGTGAGTTCATTCCGGGGGGAAGAAGGGCGAATAAAGATATGTACGTAGAGGTGCTGCGGCGTCTCCGAGAAGCAATCCGGAGGAAACTACTACCAATGCGGCAGACAAGAATTGGGTCCACCTTCATAACGCGCTAGCGCACAGATCGCTGATGGCAAGCCGTTACTTGACAGGCACTAGCACAGTCCTACTGCCACATCCCCCCTACTCCCCGGACCTTTCACCATACGACTTCACCTTTTCCCAAGAATGATGAAGCGCCTGAAGTAACGTCGTTTTTCCTCCGCAGTGGAGGTTAAGGAAACTATGGTGACAGCACTGAACCGGGCCGATAAAAATGGGATCCAGTTATGTTTCGAGGAAATTTACAGACGTTGACAAAAGGGTACAGAAAGCCAGGGCCACTATTATGAAGGTGACACAGCAATAGTGCCGTAACGCTCACCGTTTGCGTGCAATAAACACAGTCTCGAAACTTTTTGAACCTACCTTGTATATGACACAAATATGTAATAAGGGTTTTTTTTATTGTCCACTCTCGGCTGAGATACAGGCTTTCAAACCACATGGAAAGTTGTCCACGATGGCCGTCAGCTGCTCGACCATAATGTCGTCCCAAACCTTAAGCAAACCCTTCTTCAGCCAATCCACACTGCCGAATGGTCACGTGCTCCGGGGTCCATACGTGCGCTCAGGAGCCACAACTGTGAGCAGGTCGCAATCGGTGATGGTGTTGTGCTGGGATTCGTGCCATGGGCAAGACTCCTCTGGTTTTTTGTGGAAAAAGGGGTGAAGATCAATGCAGCTGTGTATCAAAATCGCATCCTGAGAGCAGTTCCCGACCCCTGGGCACGTGACCATTTCGTCGAAAATGAATGGGCGCTGCAAGAAGACTGGGCGCCCGCACACGGAGCGGAGACGACGATGGAGCTCTGCAAAGAGCTGTTTCCGAATCCGGGGGTGAAGGACGTCTGGTGCTCAAAACTCACCAGATCTCACCCTATGGATTACGTCGTGTTGTCCATTTTGAAGAAGAAGGCCTGCTCGACATCGCACAGCAGTGTGGATTCGCTGAAGAAGGGTTTGCTTAAGGCTTCAGATGACATTAAGGTCGAACAGCTGACAGCCACCGTGGACAACTTTCCATAGCGTTTGAAACATGTATCTCAGCTGACGGTGTACATTTTCAAAAATCCTTAAACGTATTGTTGCCATATATGTTTGCTAAGCTTGATAACATTTTGATGGAATTTGGATGATATGCAGTAAAGTTATAACTAAAAAAACGCGGCAAGAACATTTTGCGCACCCTGTATATCAACGGGTGGAAAAGGAAGAGAGACTTATTGCTTCCATGCCATATCGCTCGTGTTGGGGCATGGTCGATCAAAACTCGGATTACGAAGTACGTATGCCTTTTTCCTGAGGCCTGGTGAGGCTACTTGAGTAATTCTTTTGAAATTTTGAAGATTTCAAGACTTGAAGATGAGACATGCAATTTCCATACCTGAAAATCCTGTCAAAGTGACCAATGGTTACCCGTGATCGCGGGTTCCGACCATTGACGTGTAGCTTCTAATGTAATACTGCCATATATTTCGCTTTTTTTTCGGAGCCCAGGGGGGTAATGAGTATACAACCTAATTTCGGCTTCCAGTGATTTGAATGATATGCGAACACTCACGAATTGGTATTTAGATCCATCCTTACCCACCGTGGCATTGAAGGTGAAGGAAGGTAGACAGCATCTGTCGAAGAAGACCCATGAATCATTCCGGTACATATACCAACACCACCTGGACGATGCGGACTGGTTCCTCAAGGCGGACGATGACACCTATGTCGTCATGGAGAACCTCCGCTTCATGCTCCACGATCGCAATCGTTCGGAACCAGTATTCTTTGGCTGCCGCTTCAAAAGTTTCATGAGCGGGGGTGCTGGTAAGGATTCCTCCCCAAATCATATTTGTGAATAACCAATGCATAATTGAAATTATTTGTTCTTGAAGGATATGTGCTAAGTCGAGAAGCAGTGAAGAGATTTGTGGAGAAAGCCTTACACAATCCCAAGTCCTGTCCTCTGGTGTTGGGTGAAGATGTTTCTATGTGTATGTCCTGCATTTAGTGATAGTTTTTACTTTTTCTATTCACCTTATATACCTAGTTTTCCCTCATATCGAATATTTAATAGATTATAGTAAGGGAGCCTCCAACTGATTATCACACCCATTATGCATGCAGCAAAAATAATTATGTCATTCAAGGAGCTGGATCTACATTACTTCACCAAGTGATATAGATCCAGCTGCTGTGTATTTGAGAACAAAACATTTGATAGAAAGCAGTATTCATGTATGCAAGGAGTTCTGTCTCTGTTGTTTCGTTAGCCTTGAGCAAAAATCTGCGAGTTCGGAAGGGGAAAAAGATACTAGAGGGGAGAACGAGTGCAGCCCCAGCAACCGAACATAAAATAAATTATAATGTAGTATACGTAGACGATCGTGACTGGCACTAATTCTATTCGTGTTCTAGAAATCATCAATGCTGATTTTGGATGCCTAGGCATCCTGACTTCAGAGGTACACGTCTTGGGGCACATTTCCGGGGGGAGGGGGGAGGATTGGGCTATGTGGGGGTTGGGTGGATCTCGTAGGCCTAGCCCCAACTTACAGATGGATGCTTTGGCTTACACCATTCTCCTACTTCATTCAATGAAATATGCTCCTAAGACATGTACACCTTAAGTCAGACTTTCTCTGGAGTCCACAGAAAAAGTATGCAACCTATCAACTATTCACGTTCCTTCGGTTGTATAAAAGGAAGTGTGTCCATGAGAATGAAACATGCGTTAGCGTGCGTCCCTGAGTTAGGCCTAGGCTTCCAAAATCAGTCCCTGCAGAATGTGCCCCCAAGGCATGTACCGCCAATGCTAGACTTTTTCTGGAGTCAGCAGTATCAGAGCTATTATTGTCCGAAGTTTCGGAGTTTCATGATTTCTAGAACATGGATAGAATTAGTGTCAGTCACGATCGTCTATGTATACTACATTATAGTTTACTTGATGTTCGGTTTCTGGGGCTGCACTCGCTCTCCCCTCTAGTATCTTCTTCCCTTTCCGTACTCACAGATTTTTGCTCAAGGCTAACGAAAGAACAGGAACAGAACTGTTTGCATACATGAATGCTGCTTTATCAAATTTTCTGTTCTCAAACACGAATAATTTAATATTCGTCAAAGGAATATTGATGCTTCTGACCCAAAGATTTTTACGATTACCCAGATTGTTCAAAACCGATATTTCAAATTAATTACTCATTATCATAGAAAACGGAGCCATGGAGGCGCGACCATAGCGAGTTAAAATTTACATATTGGAGTTTTCAAAGACACCTGCTTGGAACATTTTGGAATTCAAATGCAATGTATAGGAATGAAGTTACCCGCATCATTATTTTTGAGGAAAAAAACACTTATCCTCGACGTAAAAACGTTATCCGATGGTTCGAATTGGTTTTTCAAAACCACCCCTCTCATGATTTATGTAAACATAAAATTCCCATCCAAAGAGTATTCTAAGGGTTCAAACGCATGCTTAGGCCTGCCTATCAATTTTCATACAGTTTCTGCAAATAATGGAGTGAAATACCTGGGTACAACTAATACCATTCTCTGAATGTTTTGCTTCCACTCCATTGCAGGGAAATGCCTCAACTTTGTGGGAGTGCAACCAGGGGACACCCGGGACGAGTTGGGACGCTGGCGGTTCTTGCCCTTCGCCCCAGAGACCCACCTCAATCCCGGCTTCTTCTTGGGCAAGTATGACTGGTTGTGGAAGCACACGTTCTACCCTTACAGGGAAGGACCCGAGTGCTGCTCGGACAAGGCCATCGCCTTCCATTACATCTCGCCCAATCTCATGCACGCTCTGGAATATTTCACCTATCGCCTGCACCCCTTTGGCGTTCAACATCAGCCTTTGGTCTCCAACGATACGGGCGTGTCGAAGTCTCCGCCATGATGCTGTTCAGCCATTTGTGAGAATTTTAAAACCTGAATTTATTTCTAACCAATCACTCCAGGGAGGAGGCGGTTTTTCCACAGGACTTTCATGTGGAGTGTATTCGCGCAAATTAAAATGTTATATCTCAGATGGAGCTACGTCTAGTTCTTCTTTTATTGAAAGCTGCATTGTGCCAATATGCCGGGATAATTAGTGGAACCATTTTGCTCATTGTCGTCACGGACGCGGCTATACAAAATCCCCCCCCTAAGGGCGAATCAAATGAAAGGGAACCAGCGCATATTTAACAAAAAACATGTACTTTGTAATTTACATGGCTATTTAGGCATTTGTTCCAGTGAGTCACTAGCCTTCTGATGACTCGTTCGTAGAACGATTGTGGCAACTGGTTCAAAATGTCAAAACGGCATCCTTCACTGCAGCGTCCAACGTAAAGTGACGTCCCTTCATGTGCTTCTTCAGCTCCCCAAACACGTGGAAATAACATGGAGAAACAGTTAATGCCCAACCGCATTGCCAGACATTTGCCGTGGTGCATTAGGCCATAAAAAGCAAGCGCCGAAGTCTTCCGACAAATGGAGTGATATAAGCCTTCATGACAACGCCAGAGCCCACACGGCCCAAGTGATCGTGGACACCTTGCAGTCGTTTGGCTATGTGGTGTCGGAACACCCACCGTATAGTCCGGACCTCTCCTGATGCGATTTCCACGTGTTTGGGGAGCTGAAGAGCATGAAGGGGCGTCACTCTACGTCGGACGCTGCAGTGCATAGACATTTTATAGAACGTTATTGACATTTTGAACCAGTTGCCACAATCGCTCTGCGATCGTGCCATCGCAACGTTAGTGATTCAATGGGACAAATGTCTAAACGCCCATGGAAATTAAATAAATAAATGTACTTGCTTATTGATAAACAAGTGTTGGCCGTTCTCATTTGATTCGCTCTTACGTATAGGATCGTTTTTTCTTAGGACTACACCTTATCCCCTTGTTAAGGGGAAATATATGTCCACCACTAAATAAAACTCCTAAGTTTAAAGTGTAAACCATCAACTCAAACCTGAGTTCTCCCTGGATGACCTGGATGTTTTCGTTGCTTTTTTCATCCTTCAATAATTCTGAATACTGCAGGCAATTGAGGTTCTGGATTGATGTCGATCGGACGTGAGTGAGGACCGAAATCCCAAGAAAAATGCCAAGAAACCCTTTGACTCTTAGAAGATGGAGAAACTCCTGGGTTGGAGTGATTCATTTTGTTTCCTGGGGATTCTCTAATCACCATTTTCCATCGAGGAAAATACTATTTTCCACAGGCTAATTTTGCACGTTTTGGGGAGACTTATCTATAAGCAAAATGGATGTCATCAGTAGCGTGTATTGCCTATTGGCAATAAAGGATTTTGCACTTATTATATTACTTTAGAGCATTCTGCATGGCTCTTGTGATATTCGCGTAATTTATTATCCGAATGAATCGATACAGACTTGGCCTTTCCGGGGTATCACAACCCATAATGACATCCTAAATTCAATCATCTCATTACAACCACTGATGGACCCAGTGCATGGGGGCATCGGTGTTGCAGTTGGTAGGAAGTTCTGAAATATTCGAATTTACTGCCTACAGGGAGCCCCATCAAGTCTACCTCGGACCGAAAGAAGGAAAGGACGAAGGTCACCGACAACTAAATAAAATAAATAATGGATGAACGTGCACAGGGTTAATCAAGAAAGACACTCTGATTGAATGTGATCATTATTAAGAAAGCAACACAACCATAGGAAAGTAGCTAAATGTAAAACTTACTAGATGCAAAGTCCAGGTAAATCGGATTTAAAGATAAAACGTTTCAATCTACATATATACCTCGTACATACCTTTTCGATATTGCTTTTCCCAGCTTAATGGGGTCGCGGTTCGAGCATGCTCAGGAACATCCTTCTATGATCTCGATCCTGGGCAACAGACTCTAGCTGAGCTAGCGGAATGCCGACCCTCTCGTGACAAAACCGAGCGATGTAATCACTCCACCTTGCACGAGGTCCACCGACAGGTCTTTTGCCGGTCATCTCGGCCTCGAGGACTCCTCTTGAGAGTCAGTCAGGGGGCATGTGGCAGATCACGGCAGCCACTCGACGCAAGAACCCAATTTCGGAGGCTCGTATCTACGACCTGGTTCTCCCGGTCGTTGCCAAAACTTCGTGACCATAGGTGAGGATGGGGTGAAAAACACTTAAAAACCTAGAGTTTTGCTTCTCTAGAAACTTCCGATCTGGCAATCACGTTTCACCAAAGTTCCTGCAGAACTGCAGAAGCCATGGAGATGCGGTTGTCGATCTCGTTTCCATGACACCCATCACTCGAGAACCAGACCCCGAGGTACTTGAACTTCTCCACTTGTTCCAGTGGAATCCCACTGATATGCAGGGTGCACTGTAAGGGATTTCTCGTGAGGACCATGACCTGTGCCTTGGAGACGCTCAGTTGGATTCCGGTCACCGCGCATTCGGAGTCGAACCGATAGAGCACGCTTTGGAGCTCCTATCAAGAACGGGTCATAAGGACGGTATACTCGACAGAGAGAAGTATCGTTACCGTGACGTCACCGATGTTGACCCCCTCCATGTCGAGGCCGCGCATAAAGTTCTGTCCATGTACACGAGGAACAGGAAAGGAGAGAGAACGCAATCCTGCCGGAGTACAGCGCGTACCATAAAACAATCCGAACTCCTCCCGCTCACTCGAACGCAACTCCTGCATTCATTGCATAGGGACTGAACGGCCCGCAGTAGAGGACCATAGATCTCAATCTCCTGCAGTACTCCCCACAGCTTCCCTCGGGGCACACGGTCGTATGCCTTTTCGAGGTCTAAAGAACATGTAAACACATAGTACACTTCCTATGTCTCTCGAGGATCTGGTGGAGAGTGAACAGCTGGTCCGTGGTGCTCCTATTTGATGGCTTTACCCACAACTGCCCGAGCTCTTTTGCAGCACCTTGGAATAGACTGCCGGGTATGCTGAAGAGAGCTCGAAGGATTAGCTTATTATCGTGCGATATTTAGCCAATCCCCTGAGTCCCCCTTCTTACTAATAGGAACCACCACACCGGTTTGCCAATCTTTAGGTGCTGTCCCCGATTCCCAAGTAGCCTGACACACCCTATACAGCCACGAGCACCCACTTTTGCCCTTGCTTTCAGAGCCTTCATGAGCCTCCGAGTACATCCACCTCGACAGCCAATACCTCTCCACTTAGGACTTTGATGACCGGGAAAGCATGGTGTCTGCCTTGCCGAAGCCTTCGGATAGTGTGTCAGAACCCTTTGGTGGCAGTGCGGTAGTCCGATTCCATTCGATTGCCGAATTTCTTCCACGCCTCCTGTTTCGCTATGGCCACAGCACGTTCTTGAAAAGTTGGACCTACTGCACATCTAGGTTACCACCTTCGCAGTAACAGCCTCGCGTACCGCTGGGGTCCATCAGGGCGTGCGCCACTCCGATGCACCTCTCCCCCCACACTCTTGCTGTAGCCGCCGAAAAACCATACTGAAATAGAGCCCACTAGTCAGTTGTCCGTGCAAAAGCACGGAATAATTTAAAGGCAATCATCCATTGTGAATGATGCATACAAATGAAGATTATTAAATGTGCAATTTAAAGGAGTTTGCTCAATTCTTGCTATGAAACCGATTTTAATACATGTATATTTTTACACTGGCTTCACTTCTGAAATTAAAATATAAAGTTTTCATCAAAATATGAAGGATATCAAAAACTTAGGTTAAGCTGGCTTTGGCTAAAATGTTCATTTTATTCATGATGGGACTTCGAATAAATTCGTTCCAAAAAAATGTATGGGGAATGTCACATCATTTGAGGACAATTCGATGTGCGAAGAAGATGGATTACAATTGAACAGTGCCAATATATGTGATTACCAAATGCACAAGTTCATTCTCATTCCAAATGAAATGATCATACAAAATGTTACTTTTTTAATTTGATACTTCTTGTTGGGATGCATTTTCCCTCATTCAATATCGTTGGAAGTACGTATTCTAGAGGAATTTTTTTTATTCAAACATGAGAAATTCAAAGGAACAAAAATAAATTCATCACAAAACCTAGCGTAACCTAACACTTTCAGATCCTTCAAATTTAGATTAAATTAATATATTTTGCTTTTGCAAATGAAACCCTTTAAAATTAAGAATGATGCAATGAATTCGATTCAACAGCCAAAATCACATTATATCGGGAAAACTCATTTTCGGGTCAGTCTTCCCCCTCCTTGGATCCGCCACGGGCTGGCCATGTGAGAAGACAGGGCGTAACGACAGCTCTTATAATCTCTTTGTCTGCCCCTGGGCATTGTTAAGCAGATGCTTAACTTAGGGCTTAAGCGATGGGAAACTGACGCCTAGTGAATGCGAAGGGCAGCCCACACAATACGGTTCCTTTACTGAATTAACTTTGCATCATCCTTTGGTAAGCTGATGAGCCCTTCCCCTTCGCTTCTTCACATTCGCATGCAAATCCTAGGACTTGCATTCATCAATAATTTCAGGCTGAGGAAATTTGAGTCTTGCAAGTATTCGTAAACGTGAGTTCTGTCAACGGATTTCGCTGCGTCATGAATCTCTCCGAGGTTACTGACAATTTCAAGTTCTTCCCGTTGCATTCATTAGGTCCTTGCCCATCTGTGAGAGTCCATGTCCAAGTTTATTACCCATGAAATGCAGGAAGCGTAAGCTGGATGACATTTTTGTAATTCAATTGTTTGCCACTTTTGTCCCAATTACTCTGGAACTGCCCATAAAGGAACGGAGCGCACACTTTTAGTGAAAGCTCGATATGTGTTCCTTCATCGCAGAAATGAGAAAATATCTGAATCCTGCATTTGCCAACACCATACCTCTTCCCAAGGATCCAATATCTACAGCGCACATTTTCCTGACTGTAGGTGAACATTATTTTTAAAAAAAATAGATAATGCTCACCTGCAGTCACTGTCCATGCATTTTGGGCGAGTCAGTCCCAGCAGCCACGCCTGCCCTGATTGTGGCTGCACAGCGATGGACGATGAACTCGAGAGGAGTCATTCGTCTTATCGGATGTTTGCGATGGAAAGCTCCTTTGCCCATGCTGAAGCCTCTGGGGGAGGGACACTCTCGTCCGCCTAATTCAATAAGATTCCCATGCTAATTTTGCCAGCCGATCTCGCGAAGTGTTGCATCTGGCAACACTTCGTTCGCATTCCATCCATCTTCGAGTACCCACTGTTGCGATCTCGCATTTCAATCATTGATGTTCAATCCTGTTGAATACCATGACACTAGGCACGCACCTCGCTTTCAATCACGCCTATTTGCATTTGCCATGATTTAATGAGCGACGACATAGACCTACACATTACCATGTCATGAAAACCCATGTCATTCAAGATTTTCGCATGGTCGTATCTGATCGTAAAATACGGGGAACCTCGAAATATATAAATCCCCATGGACTAGTCTATATTCGTAACCAGACCGGGAAGCTATTCTTCCTTCTCCATCTTGACTACGGGGAATCCCAACGCAAAGGAACTCATTATATGCAGGGATTCAATGAGCAATCCATTCTAAGGTCAGTTAATAAGCGATCTCTTTCGATTCACTGAACAAGGCTATAAAATGGCTAACTAAAAAACTGCGATGAACAATTTCGGGTGAATCCATATTCAAACTACGCATGAATACTTCCACTTTATCCATAATAAATAACTTGAAACCCTTCTAAAATGTAATGCATCATGAAAACAGGATGTTTCATTCGACTATGAACGTCTTCCCCTGTCCTTCTGAAATGGTAATTACGCGAAGAGATTGAATTCCTCGGATAAGCATTCTGAAAAGCAAGGCTGCTTTACCTCTCGATTGAAAAGGTGAGCCTGCGCCCTGACTGTGAGGTGTCACTTCCACAAATGAAACCCACTATCGACAGCGGTCAAGCGAAACGCATGAACGAATTTTGACACCAATCACACGATATATTTCAGGTTGTTGGTCATCTTCAAAAGCTAATTTCCTTACCGATAAAAAATTGCCATCAGTTTATAACCATACCACAATTGCCACCAGTTTCCAACCTTTACAATTTTCAAGCAATGCTCTGAAATACGCATTTATTGGAAAACCTGGCTAGACACGACTACGAGAACGGTATATGCATTTAAACGTTGAAACTCCCTCGGGGCGACATCTTGCAGACATACGACGCGGGATAACTCCCCTGGAGATCATCCCACGAGGATGTCACCGTGACGGCGCAGTCGCCGCCCCCCGCGACCGGACTCCCCTCGTCCCAGCGGTCCACGTCGACGGGAGACCCGTCGGCCCAGCTCCAGTCCCCGGTCGCGTCCTGCCTCATTCCGACCCAGAACTCGCTCCACTTCGGCAGGGGATGCGGGAAGCGGTCGTCGTGCTCGAAGCAGAGGGCCAGGATCGCCTGGTGCCGTTCCGTGGCTCCGATGGAGAGGATGTCGGCTCCCCAGAAGTCCAGGCAGTAGGACCTGCCCGCGTCGAAGTCGAACGACCGGGTCGAGACGTGGAAGCAGACGGGGTCGTCGAAGCAGTACCAGTCGTCCCCGTGGGACTGAACGGACTCGCAGATCACGGGTCTGTGTTCGGTGCAGTCCAGGTTCGTCCACCGATCCGGGACCATGGCGGTCCCGCACCCGGACGAGCAGCTGCTCAGCGGACGGTCCGTCACCCACTGCCAAACGTTGTGGTAATCACTGGGCGTTCCATCCAAAAACTCGAAGCCGAAGGGATCGTCATCTTCCCCGAGCAGCCCCGTGTTCGTGGCGCCGATCCAAACGGTGCCAGTCTTCGCAAGTTCCTGAATGAACAACTGCTCCTCCCTGGAGTGAATGCTCGTCAGTTGCCCGTTCCTGGCCTCGCAGTCCGTCCTCGCCTCGTCGAAGGCCATTTCCTCCTCCGAGAAGAAGTAGCAGTGCGACCCGAATCCCTCCCAGCCCCCCTCGCACATCGTCATCGCCATGTAGGTCGCACTGAACCCGAACCCGCTCTCGTCGTCTTCGTCCGAGATGAAATGGACGTAGAGCGTGTTCCCCACCGACTCGATGGTGCCAGGGTCCTCCGACCCGCAGAAAATGTGGGAGTCGCCCTCGGGGTCCGACACGTAAAGGTAGTCGCCCGAGAGGCAATCCGCGTGCTCCTCCAAGTTGAAATAGTTGAAAGACAGGAGGATTTTCTGGGTCGCTAGAGCCTGAGGTGAGTATCAAAACAGTAGCATCTAATCCCAAAAACATCCATTAAAAATAATACCAAAAAAGAAAAATTCCTATCGAATTCATTTCAGCACAATTTTCCGTGGACTGTTCAACAAAACATCCTATTGTACGGTAAGTTTCTAGTAATTTCCTTAACACTTTGTCGAAGCGAAAGCACGAGAAAGAATGTAAACGCATCTACTTCGAAGAAAAAGGGCATTCTGACAGATTCCAATATTCCTTACTTCGTGAATGAAATCAAATAATCGACACGAAAAAATGAACTTCCAAAATTAGGAGAAGCGTCAAATCCAGGGCTTAACAAACTCACTTGAATGACCCATTGGCAATCGACGTTTGGGGGATAGGAACCAGGATACCCGGGGGAATGGATCTCCCCAACCGGATCGGTGAGGACTCCATGGCATTCCTGAGAAGCCGAGCGTCCTAGGAGGCGCGACAGCACCAGGAAGACGAACGTCAATGCTCCGCCCTCCATCTGCATTTTCCATATTGTCACAGATTGAAATGTGGGAAGAATCCGCTCGATAAACAACCATCTAAGGGGGTGAGCCATTGGAAAATCTAATCGGGAGGGCCATAGGAGCGTCCCCTGCATGCCTCATTCTCGTTTTCTAATGTACTAGCGGCCTACGGCCGCTACGCTAGCCGTCTAAAAGGCGGAAATTTGAATCGTCTATTGTAACCATAACGTATCCTTGACATCCTCTGTTCATCGCATTACCCATTCGAAACTGAACTGCTTCATTAGATTTGGACACATACAGCTTACAGTACAGAGGGAGATTTTGTTCCTAAACACATTCATTTCATCATGACATTCGAGCTCATTACCACAATCGCCATTGTAAACGCATTGGTTTAGCAGGTTTTCATGAGACTCCAGACGACTTTGCTGATTTCGTCGTCCCAGCACTTTCAATTCTCTTGCATCACTGATTAGTTTATGGGGCTATTAGCATTAGCTTATTGTACAGAAACTATTGATTCTGAAACAGTATGGGCCGTTTCAACGAACTTTTTTGACTTCAGCACAGAAGGCAGTTAGCGCAAGTGTGGTACAATACTAACGAATGATTCCTGAAAAGTCCTCGCCGACACATTGGCACCAGTGAGCAACACTATTCTGAGGCTCTGAAAAAAGTGTGAGTTGCAGCAGGAGCACTTTTCCGCTGTGGCAGCTATATGAAACAAAATGCCTCCTCCCTACAGCAAAATGTACAGCCTGACAGTGCCCGCTGTGACAAACGACTGTAATTATTGAGATGACAGGAAGAGGCATGACAAAATTTCCCGAGTTCCATGGTGTAAAGGTACCACATGCAATGTAGCAATGCTTGCCTGACAGGCAAGCAGGAGGTCCGGGTTCAACTCCCAGCCCCCCCCCCTGGCTTTTGACACCTGAATGCTGCGTTCCTTGCTTCAAGTTGCGCAGGAGGCTCCACGGCTCTCCTATTCCTGAACTCAGCATTCGCTGCCTCTTGCTGTTCCGCGGTCTGAGCGGCCCTAAGCTCCTTACGTACAGCTGCGTGCTGTTCATCATTCATTCTAGCCATTACGGCTAGCACCGACTTAGACACTTCGCACCGCAACTACAGTGGCAAACGTTGTTTCCGCGCCAGCACCAATCGTTTTTCATCTGCAGCGACTGCCTCATCGCCGCCCTGTGGAACCATCATATTTTCTTAGGGTCCAACCTCACCTCGCAAAAATCGCCACCATTTTGATGGTATGAGCTGCCCGTTTGCGCGACACATGAAACAAAGTGATTATTTTCACTTCATCAATTATGAGAGCTCAAATTAATCGGGCATTACATGAAACGCAAACAGAAACTATTACATTGAACGTGACAGGAATTCAGTTCGTAGCACTCCTTGATCGACACAGCGAAGTACTGTATGAAGCCTATGGAATTAAGTTGGGTCACAGCCTATGGCTCATACTGGTATAGCCCAATAGACCCGACGCGAAGAGCGTTGGATTGCCTAGCCTATGACCCAGAATGCCATAGCATTGTAGGCCGTACAGCCACCGCTAAAAGTATTAGCTTGCGGCTCCACGATTGCATGCTTTGAGATGACGCTGCATCATACAAATATCGCTACACCAACACCACGTTTCAGGACACGACATTTCATACTTTCTCAGAATTTGGAACAGGACCCCCAACTTCTCTGAAATGATTGAACGACTCAGTGAATGACCGACCCTAATTCTAAGCATGTTTTAGATATGATAGAAAGCTGAAACTTGGTTATTGAAGCTGTTGTCGCAACGAATTCAGGAGAAATCCTACTTTTGATGTGCATTCCCTAAGGACAATTTTTCGATGTGAGGGATAGGAATCTCAAACACCTTTGCTCTGGCGAAATAGGTGAGTACGGTGTGAAATGTGTCACTGAGTATTCCATTAACCTCTTTAGTACCAGGGGAACGATAAATCATTGTTTTCCAGTATACGAATCGGCTGCGTGGCACTAAAAGGGTTGAGGAAAAATTTAGGCAGGTACTCAGGGAGTACACTTTTTTTTTTGGGGGGGGGGGGGGGAGAATTAATGATATTTCTTTTGATGAAGCCAAACATCCGTTATCATTGTATTACGCCTGAGACATAGTGTAGGTGGGGAATATTTCCGAAGAACAACTCTTTCGATAAGCTAACACCTTCCCATTTTGCCCCCTCCCTCCCATAAAATACACCGGATGGATTTCATTTACATAGATGACTCATGACTTACATAGATGACTCATGCTAAATTTATGTTCCAGATATACGAAAAACGTGAAAATTGGTGCATATGCAGTTCTATAAATAATGACTTCACAGTGGAAACCCAGAGGCTTCTTTTTACAGGGGTGTGTCAGGGGAACCCTGATTTTCTCGCATGAACAAAACGATTACATTTGTACTTTATAGACGTTTTGCTTTTATATTTTTCTTAGAGACCGGGGGATAAGAATCACCCTTTATTTCATGCTGCCACCTAAAATTGCCTGGGCCATCAAATACCCAAAGTAATGCGGCGTCTCAATACATTGCGTGATGAAGCCCCATTCACCTTCATCTTCTACACCTACTGAGGCGTTTTCAAGGAACAGGACGAACGGACTCACTCAAATGTTATAAGAGTCGAGGGAGTCAATGTGTAAATGAGACACAGTGAAATAAGGAGGTGCAATGCCACGTGGGTGGACTCGCGGCTGGGAGGTGCTCCGAGAAGCAGGATGGCCTTCGCTCCTTCCCGCCTGGTGGCTCGGTTCTCATGCGGCTGTATCTCTTGTGATAGCACATGTCCCCAGGTTTCCCATTCGGGGAATGACGCACGTATTCGCATTGAGGTGTCAGGAGCGAAACCTTCAGCTATGTCCGAATGCTTATATAATTCTACAGGGAAGTAGATATGGAGCAGAGGGGGATTAAACTTCACATAAAAGCGACTTATGGCGCTAAGTCTACGCATTAAATTCTTCAGCGAAAAGGACGGTCAAGAAAGCTACACCTTTCTTCATAAAATGTTTTATTAACATATAAGCAATTCCTCAATCACCACCTAACACATCGCGCATATGATCTGTATCTAAAGTTGCCTCCATAGGTGCATATCTCACGGCGGTAGTGACATTCAGCCTATGAAACTCGTGTTAAAGACGGTATGAATACCCCTGAAAATGAATTAATCCTTTTTTTTCACTCCGAGAGCCGAAGTCTGCGAAGAGCAAACAATTCTATGGTAAAAATGCATGAATAAATACAACTCACACAAGCTGTTTAGCGAATGCTCAAAGAAGGCTAGATGATTGTCTCTGCTTTAGGGTAATGCTCTAACAAATAACGCACAATGGGGGTGTCTGACCACGCTTCGGTCATATTAGGCAATATCATGACCGTTATAACGTTATGGTCTTAACGCATTAAACCTACTATTACATAAAGTACTAATTATAGTTAATGGCGTAACACCAAATGCAACATTTCCAAGCGGGAATTCGCAGCCCAGGAGCCATTCGCGTAACGCAGTGTGTCAAAGGCCAATGCGATTCTGGTTTGACATGCACGAGAATTTCGTAACCGTGGACTGTAATTATAAACTTCAACCCTCAAAAGTATAACAAGAGAAATATTATGACGGTGTTGTATATTCTTCGGCAGACTTCCAAAGCGAAATGCTGCACAACATTTTTACTTTCCTTTGGAATAGACAATTCATGAACATAAGCCTTGTCGTTGCTTGCAATCCCAATGTTTGATCACTTTACTGCGGTATAATTGGCTTGAACAAAAAAAAATATATTTTGACTCTCCAAAAGAGATAAAATCGGCGAGAGGCCCACATTTCAAACTCCAGGGAAGCAATAATTCATTTTGAGTGATACATTTCCTATAAACCGCACATAATTTGATGATGAGATTAAGATGGGGGTTAAAAGAATTTATACTTAGCAAATAAACAATAAAATATACTGTGAAAGTGTTACTCCACATCGTAAATAGGCGCATATGATTTTTTTTTAACTCCGACGCTGAGAAGAGCGACTTCAGTCGCCTGCGGCTCTACTACCTATTAGCTAAAGGGCTCAAGCTCTGTGGATTGTGGTGTTCGTTAAGTAAGATTAGCGCCCTTTTACTTCCTTAAGATGATTTCATAGATGGATATTTGCAGCCACAACATTGTGTGTAGCCGCACCAAGGAGCGAGAAACCTGTCTTCCCGAATTAACTGAAGCAAAGCAGCCGAGGGATCCAGTCGTCTGGTTGAGCGGAACACTCATTTAGAAGAGATAATCGAATGCCATTAGCCAACAAGTGATTTCCAGATCTTTTTGCAATTTGTCGAGGCATTTTACACTGTGAAGTCATTATTTATAGAACTGCATATGCACCAATTTTCACGTTTTTCGTATATCTGGAACATAAATTTAGCATGAGTCATCTATGTAAGTCATGAGTCATCTATGTAAATGAAATCCATCCGGTGTATTTTATGGGAGGGAGGGGGCAAAATGGGAAGGTGTTAGCTTATCGAAAGAGTTGTTCTTCGGAAATATTCCCCACCTACACTATGTCTCAGGCGTAATACAATGATAACGGATGTTTGGCTTCATCAAAAGAAATATCATTAATTCTCTCC